AGCTGAGGGAATCCCCTGCTCCATGCATGAATTTCGTGCACTGGGCCACTAGTGGGTAAATAAAACCCCAGAAAGAAAAACTGGATAAAGAGAAACAACTGTAATCTGCATGCCAAAGTAGCACATTTTGGAGCAGCTTGTCCTATTCTCCTCCAAAATAGGGTAACTGAACAACACAATTAAGAATTTGACATAATTTATTACCCATATTTATTAGCTTTCTATTGTTGCTTAAAACAGCACAAATATATTCTCTTACAATCCTGAGGTCAAAACTTTAAAATCAGTCTCACTTGGCTGAAGTCTGTGTGTCAGCCGGCCTGGTTCCTTCTGCAGGCTTTGAGGTGAGTGTATTAGTCAGGGTTATCCAGAGAAACAAAACTGATAAGCGCTGTGTCTATCTACTTACCTATCTGTTGATGTAAAAATGTCCAAATCTTTAAATAATTGTTATGAGTTTATGTGAGCCAAACTGATGACATTCCAGGAAGCAAGATCACAAATGCTCCAGAGAATGACATTTCTGCAGTTTCTTTTATACATTTAGAATTAAGGAAGGAATACAAGGAAGATTACATGAAGGTGGGAGAAAGCAAGACTGGTAAATGTCTATGTTTACAATAGTTAAGATTATGTGCTCCCTTGAAGTTTGGTTAGCCTACAAAGAAGGGAATATAAGGAAGACTACATGAAATCTATCAGTGGTATATTAAGGAGGTAGGAGGAAGCAAGATGTAGGAATCTCTATGATCCTATATAATAAAAAGCATATATGCAAATTGTCCCCTTGGGAGTTTGACCAACTGGGAGTTTGACCACTTGCTATGATGTAGACTGACCACTGGGGGGAGGCACAGAACAAAGGAAGGCCTCGGCTGGCAGCCGGCAGCCAAGGGAAGGAAGGCCTCAATTGGCCCTGATCACCAGCTAGGCCTAGTGCATGAATTTCATGCATTGGGCCTCTAGTTAGATATACAGTAGAAAGGAGAGGTAAATACTTTTACATTGATGGTTATAGGATAGTTAACATTTAACATTTACAATGAATAAGGATGGTATATAGGCAACATGATCATATGTTCCCTTGAGGATCATTGCTCTTCTGCATCTGAAGGGTCTGGAAAAGATAATTACACTGGCAAGTATTTCAAAGGTATGTTAATCTCAATGCATAAGAACAATGGACAGGACTTGCTTAAGACAAAGATTAACCCTTTACTAAGAAGTTATATGTCTGAGGTGTAACTACCCACCATAACCTGCCCAGTTAGGAATTTATGATCAGATTACCCTGTGAGGTTACTTTTGGTCTCTGAGCTTGTCAGATTTAATACATACCCCCCCCCCCCATTTTTCCATTCACACTCTGGTCTACTTTTCTCTGACCTACCACCTCTCCTCCCCTCCCCTCCCTCCCTCCCTCCCTCCCTCCTTCCCTTCTTCCCTCTTTCTTTCTTTCTTTCTTTCTTTCTTTCTTTCTTTCTTTCTTTCTTTCTTTCTTTCTTTCTTTCTTCCTTCCTTCCTTCCTTCCTTCCTTCCTTCCTTCCTTCCTTCCTTCCTTCCTTTCTTTCTTTCTTTCTTTCTTTCTTTCTTTCTTTCTTTCTTTCTTTCTTTCTTTCTTTTTTTCTTAATCCTCCCCCAAAGATATATTTTCCTTGAGTGGAAGAGAGGGGTAGAGACAGAGAGAGACACTTGATTGGTTGCCTCCCACATGAGCCCCAACCGAAACCATTGTTCGAGCCTGCAACCAAGGTATGTGCCCTTGACTGGAATTGAACCTGCAACTCTTCAGTCTGAGGGCTGACACTCTAACCACTGAACAACTGGCTAGGGCTCTTCAATTTCTTTTGTTGCTACTAGTTTCATTGATGTATCAGTCTTCCCTTAACTGCTGGACACTAACAAAAGACTTACGTGTAAACTCAGCGACTTGGACTAGTAATATTTAATATGCTATTTTCTATTCTTCTTTAACCACTCAAGGGAAAATAGTGTACATTTGGGGGACAGAAGAGCTATTGGTTGAATTTTTGGAGAGAAATGACCCAAAATTTTCCAAAATTGAACCAAAAGGTGTTTTCTATGAAATGAAGGATCCATGTCTTTTCTTTGAGGCTATATCTTTGTAAGACAGACTCTAGCCTATGGTATCATTTTGGAAGACTAGGAAGAGGGACTGAGAAGATGTATAGATATGAGTGTGTACTTCTCAGCTGCTTTTAGTAACGGTACTTTCAAGGAAAGTGGCTCCTATCCCACTTGTTAAAGATGACATATTCCTGGGGTGCCATTTTTTAATTGGAGCACTAAAATTAGAGCACCTAGAAGCATCTGGGTGGTTTACTTTATTTTAAAACTCCTGTAGCAACGATAGAAGAAAAAAAAATTCAATTGTTAGGGTTAGAATTAATTATAAAGTTAAGGACAGGGATAGGATTAGATATAAAGATAGTTTTAAGGATATAGTTAAGGATATAAATAATGCTATAGGTAAGGTGTGAGGATATAGATATATTTAGAATTAAATTGAAAATTAGCAGTAGTAAGAGAAATTAAATTTAGTGGGAGACATACGTTCAGTAAGTGCACTTCTCTTTGCTACGTGGAAGCACGTGTGAGGATGAGGTCTCTATCACCTTTTTTCCCAGAGTAACTATGGCAAGCACAGGTTTGCGCAACAAAATGAGCATTTGTTTTGTTAAGGCACTGAGACTTCGGGGTTGGTTTTTATTACAGCTTAGCCTAAGGTATCCTGATGGATTCTAGCAAGCTGTTGGTTGAGAATACCTTTAATAAGAGAAACTACATATAAAAATGTGCCTTTTCTTTCATCTCCCTTTTTCTTGATTTTGGCTTAAGTGACAGCCAGCCAGGTTGTTTCATGTTATTTATGCAGGTGGTAGACCAAGTGGTGACTACTTCTTACCCAATAAATATACTATTTGTTATAGATGCTGTACTGTCCTGCCAAGATCCAACCTTCAGGGCTGAAAGGCTTAGTTCTCTGATGCTGGGCTGACTGTGGACCAACAGCTTTCCACTATCAGCCCCGTTTGGGAGCTGCATCATCTTTGGAAGAGCATGAACCAGCATAATGTCATACATCTCTCTTGGGGCCAGTAGCGGTATATAGAAGCCTGGTCACCTCACTTCAACTTGAGACAACTCTGAATTTTGGCAACATTAAAAGATAATACAAGGCCCACAGATACTGCTGCTCATTATGTATCCTAGATTCAAAGTTCCTGGGAATCAGTTAAGTGTTTTGTTGTTCACACCTCTTCATTGTCTTTCCCCTGGAATTGTAGTCTTTGAGAACGTGGAGAATTAGTCATGAAGGGTGATACTTTTTGGTTGTTTTTGCCTTTGTGGATTTCTTTTACAAAATTCAACTTAAGTTTCAATGAAATGAAGTGAAATGGTATATTTCTCCCTCTCTTGATACAGATCAAATAAGCCCTTATTGCTCCTTTGTCAGGGTCCAACTTCTCCCTCTGCCAAGTTCCAATTTCCTTCCCTTTCCACATGCATAAGGATCCCAAGGTCACTTCCCAATAAACATCCTGCAAACTTATCTTCATCTCAAAGTTTACATTCTGGGGAACCCAACCTATTTCTTAGAACCATTTGTTAATAGGTATGCTATAGGTCACATATTGTTCTTTTTTATTATTAAATTATTATCTGTGTACATATTTTAACATTGCTCCCCCTCCCATACATACCCTCCCTCCTCAGAGTTTTGTGTCCATTGGTTGTACTTATATGCCACATATTGTTTGAGAACCACTATGATGCCACCTACTTTTGTTGGCATTGCCTATACAAATATCTCTTTCTAATATATTGGGTTCTGTAGGTAATATGTTAACATGTGCTTAGGGGAAATGTACAGAGCGAAATGAGTCTCAACCTTGCAGATTGCATTGGCCTAAATGTGAACTGAGGAACTGTGTGTTTCTGCAGTAGGCAGAAACTTGCTGTCACTTGATAACAGGAAGCAGCTTTCTGTCTTCAAATTATGAAAAAGTTCCAATGCTGTGGAACGAGGCACTTCAGCCTTCCATTGCCCACTTTCCTTTCCAATAGTAGTAGCCATTCCAATTCAATTCCTTCAGAAATTTTGGCATCTCTCCATTGCTTTTTTATTGGGAGAAAGTAGGCCCCTAGCTTCAATAGTACAAGGTATTTCTGGCTATGGGTAGCAGTGACCTGTTGTTTCAAGTGTCAGTTGAACCTTTATTTCTTCACATTCTCTTAGGAATTAACCTAGTTACAGTGGCAAAAGAATAAGGTTTCCCAGCTTTCTTCTCAGAGAAGTGAAGTCACACCAATATCACCTAGGCACTCATCAAAAAGATATATATGTATTTTGTTATCCCTGGATCCAGGTGTGAAGGAACAGTGCAGCTTACTATGGTTACCTTGATGATTACAGAGATATCCAAAGCCATTTGGGATGGAGGCAAGTTAAGGTGATTATGCTACACTGTATGACTGAAGAGCAGGGAATTGTAAGTCCCATTTGGGCAACACTAAAAGATAATACAAGGCCCGCATGTACTGATGCTCAACCTATATCTGTTGAATGTATAGTGAGCACTAACTATTGGGGATAAAACCATCAATAAGATAGACATGGTCCTTCCTGTTCTTGGAAAGCTTAGAGTCTGTGGGAATAAGGTAGTATTGATACTTATAACAAGGAGAGTATGTGTGCCTCCCACATCCCTGCTCAGCTGAAGGAAGGTAAGATAATTTGGTAGTGCAGTTATTCTGCTCATGAATAATCAGTGCTGTTGTTTTTATACTGTTTTTGTGGTTTACACTTCTTAACTGTCTTTCCTCTGGTAGTGTAGTCTTTGAGTACATTCGGAATTAATCAGAAGAGCAGCATTTTCTGGTTGTGTTTGTCAACTTATTTTAAAATAAAATAAGTGAAATATTATATTTTCCTCTCAAATGATGCAGGTGGAATAAAGACACATGACACACCAGCCAACTTTTAATAAATTTAATAAATTAATGGGAAGTATCACAAAAACTTGGAGCGGGGAGATGCAGGAACCAAGAATAAAACAACACTTTGCCACCACTCACAAAAATTACCATATAATGAAGAAATTTTACAGGAAATAATAAAGGCAGTCTGTTGCATGTTTCTTAACAGGTATACATATATAATAGTTCATCAAAATGATTTGTTTGACAGTAAATTCACCACATTCACAGTTATCACATGGACTTTTTAAAACACTTATAAAAGTTTGTAGATTTAACACTGAACTGTAAGATTTATATCCAAATAAGTATATTTGTTTCATACCAAACTACACAGAACTTACGAATAGCACACAATTTGAGAATTACTGTGTTGGGTACTATTAAGTACTACTTGATGACATAAGAATTATTAACAAATGTGCTATAAGCTATTATCATTCAACTTATTGCCAGTGCTTTTGAACATTGTGGTTTATATTTTATTTCTGTGTAAAACATGTGCTATGAGCTTGCCCTGATAGTCAAGAAATCAGATGTTTCCAATTTTCTCTAATACAATACTTCAGATCTGAATGTGTGGTCTTTTTAAGGACTGCTAAAGGGTTTTCTTCAGTCCTTTGATATCACCTACTCTGCCCTACATTAATACAAATTGTTGGATTCATGCAACATACATGGCATACATGCAAGACACCCTCTGTATGTGCACAACTCATGCTCTATGCATGCTGTTTCTCCAGACATTTAATTTCAGTAAGAATTAAATTATCTCATTCAATTTCATATAATTGTTTTAACATGCAGTTCGACAGAGCTAACAGGCAGGTAGGCTTTACTTTCATGTTAGATTTGGGCATGCTCAAGGAATTGACTGACATTTGGCAGTGTTGTGAATCAAGTAGAGACTGTATGAGTTTCCTCAAGTACAGCAGCTCTCTCACTGCCCCTGTGGCAGACTGTTGGATTTATCTATGCTGAGTGTTGAAAACACAAATCAGGGGTTTTAAAAATTCAGATTCTGCCTTCACCAATTTCAGAATACTGAGAGGCACACTTTAAGGTGTGTAAGTAACTGTCAGGTATAAGAAATAGCATCATGAATTCTTCAGAAATTGCTCCACAGTTGTGTGAGATGGACACACATGGAAATACAGTTACTAGAAACATTGTATACTCTGCGCACGCATAGATTTAATGGTCTGACTATAGCAAGGCCTGAAAACCTTTCATGGTTTACAAGCTAGTAAAGGGGTACTGAATTCTTAGAGAGCAGCAGGCCCACGAATGAAACAATGGCCAACACTGATTGTAACACAACACTATATTTTAACAAAGGTTTAGACTTCTGGTACATAATTGCAGTACAATGAAGAGCTTGCCACTTTCACAAATTAGCTGCAGCCTTTTCCTGCACTAGAGTTTGGAAGGATCTGAAAATGAGATAAATTTTGTTTAAAATCCAATGGAAACTCTGTATTTCTCTTATTCCTAGAGTTCAGTAAAAGCTTCTTTTTAATTACTTTTTTTTCACATTCTAAGGGCCTCATTCTGTAGTCCTTAATCAAGTAAAGCTTCCAAGGTTTTGATCATCTATGCTTCCAACGCAAGTTTTACTCAAAAATGGACTACAAAATTGGGCCCTATAGACAGAGGTACCATAATTTAAAAAAATATTTTAATAAGGCTCAAAATGCTAATTTCACTTTGTGTGTAGCACATGAATTTTCAGGATCCTGAGATCAAAATCCAATTGATGTTGAATTCTGGATTGGGAAATAAACCTGGGATCTCATTTCCCAGTTTAATTATATAATTAGGTATTTACTAAGGACCAGAATGAAAACATTAATTTCAATTTGTTTGTCATAATAATTGGAATTTCAACATTGTCCTTAAGAAGTGAAAAGCTTTTAGTGGATGTATCTCATATTATCCTTCCACTTCTGTAGTCCTGGTTAACCAGCTGCTATGTTAAAATACCACTATGTTTGGGGACAGACATTGCAGTACAATATCAACACAACACTCTGACAATGTCAAATTTTGCCCCATATGTGACAAAAAGGCTATGTTCTACCTTTGCCTCACTAATGATATGACAGAGTATAGGAAGGCAGAACCTATCTTACTGTGTTTATGTGTGTAGATGGATGAGCACAGCACAGCAAGAATTTAAAGTATATATTTACTGTTAACCTGGAAAGATTCCACCGAATTTTTAATTTTGATGTGGCTGAAATACAACCACTGTCATATGCATCATTCTGGTCTCCTGCAAATGCCACCTGAGATGAACATTTCCTTATTCACAAAAGAAGGCAAGAAAGGAGAGGAGAGGAGAGGAGAGGAGAGGAGATGAGAGGAGAGGAGAGGAGAGGAGAGCAGAGGGGAGGAGAGCAGAGGGGAGAGAGATAGAGAGAGAAAGAGAGAGAGAGAGAGAGAGAGAGAAGGAGGCAAGAAAGAAGGAAGGGAAAGAAAACAACATTTAATGCATTCAAGAATCAAAATAAGTTATTCTTCATCTATTATAAACAGTAAATATAGAACCCTAAATCTCACTATTGTACACATAATTGCAAAATACAGGGTTGCAAAGCTATATATAAAAACACTTTTTCCAGACAGCAGTATTTACATTAGTTAGAACCAACAGGAGAGCATAGAAGAATAGTTTCCTAGATTACCAACATTAGTGTAGGAAAAGACTGTGCTGTGCTTTCTTACACACTACTGATCCTTTCACTAACCACATTAGAGGGATTTTCTGGGAGCTCCAAATTCTCAACTTGCATCTCTATTCCTGGTTCATTGTCATCAGCTTTCTTTACCACGCGTTCGTTGGTAGGTCGGTAAATGTTAACATTGAGCTCTCTCCCAGACAAAGCAGTAGCAGCAACTCGCGGAATTTGCCTGACAGGAGGCTTTTTTTCTGGCTTATAATTGCAGCGCAGATAGTTGGAGAAAGCCCTTCGGTAAACTTTGTTGAAAAGAGTGTACACCAGAGGATTAATTCCTGAACAAACATAGCCAATCCAAACAAACACATTCAGAAGCTTTTCCATGAGCTTTTGATTACAGGACTTCTCACAAAGAACCGACAGAATATTAGTAATAAAAAAGGGGCACCACATGACCAGAAACACAAAGAAAACAATGCCAAGGACTTTCGATGCTTTCCGTTCATTGTTAATAGCTTGCATGGTGCCCCTGGGACGTTTTTCTTTCTTCTTTCTTGGGCGAGGTTTCACATCTTGATTAGGGTTAGCAGCATTGTCTTCCTCGGTGGCATTCTTCTTGCAGCACTTCAGGAAATCCAGGCTTATTTTGGGCAGTTCCTCGGTGTGGCCACGTAGCAACATCAGAGCTTGTCTCCGAAGAACATAGATCGTCAGCAAGTAGGTGATCACCATAATCGTCAGTGGTATGAAGAATGCTACGAAGGACCCAATAAGAACGAAATTTGGGTCATTCAGCACACAGGTGGTATTGTGAGCGAACACCTTGCTTTCATCTCTCAGTCCAATCACTGGAATCGGTACTGACACACCTGAGGAACAAAACAAAGCAAAACAAAAAGAAGACAAGAGAAAGAAAAAAGGAATAAAAAGGGTAGAACATTGTTATAGCACATTGAAGGACTGAACAGATTTGTGCAATGGCATATACTGATATTCAAATGCATTTTGCTGAAGAAATTTTAGATTTGACATTTGTTGAAAGCTATTCATGGCATAAATTGGTAGTCACACAAAAGAGTAGCAGTGTGAGAAAATGAAAGTTATTTTTCTATGTTAGGAATGCTTTCTCCCTAAATCCCTTTAGAAGGCATGGAATTATCATTGTTAAGATTAACTATCATAGATACTGTTTTTGTAAGATTGGATTGTGTCTGTTTTATTTCCAGTTCCTAAAACTGTCCTGGCTCATAAAAGGTACTCAATAAATATTTATTGAATGAATAAATGAATACATTTACATCTGTACTCAATGAGATTAAAAACTTCAATCATTCTTTTTTTAGCATATCATCTTCCAAATACAATACAAATGATGAGTATATCACCTATAAGGGCAACAATAGCATACCAGGTTTGGTTGGCCTGACTTTGAGATGAGGTTTTAGCATACATTTCCATTCACGCCTTTCCTGAGGAAAGAGGTCAATAAGAGGAACATTTATGTGTAAGTCCTTCAGAGATATGGCCTGGGAACTCTGGAGTTATTGGAAATGGAGAGGACAGCATGACCCCCAAATGTGTTACAGAAACTAGATGTGATCACTATGCAGAAATACTATATAAGCAGAAACTGGAAGGACACTCTTTTTAGCAAGAGTTTAATTGAGAGTCTGGGCATAGAGCAACATTGTTTCAAGTTTAAGAGACAGAGTGAAGTACAGACTTGGAAAAGATGCAGTCCTCTAATTTCTGTGTGAATTTTTGAGCATTTTTGTTTTGAGAGTTAGTACTCTAGGTAAGCATCTACATTAATAAATATGCTCACAGGCAGAAAATATCAATAAGGAGATTGGAGCACAATGTGATTATGTGCACAAGCATCAGTAAGAAAGATGAAAATTTTCAGAAAACACTGGAAAATATTGAAGATGTCCTGCATCAAAAAATAGGAATAACTTGCAAGAAAAGTAAAATCTTAATGTTAATTTATTCTCCCTTATGTCAACAGAAACTTGAAGGCCGAGAAAATTCAGATTGCATTTTCAGAATTATATTAGATTATTATTAGGAATCCTGAGCTGGTGGACATCAATACCATGAACAGTGAGGAGAGATAGAAATGCACTCTCAAAGATCATTGCTGGTTTTTGAGAACATGCAGACAACTGTGACAAATCTGAAACTGAAAGTCCCTACAGTTTGTCTTAATATCCTTCCTCAGGTATAAAGTTACTGGATGATCAAAAGGGAAAAAGCTGTCAATTTTTTTTTTTTTTTTGAGAGCTCACTCATGATGTTGATTGTTATTTAATCTCTAGGAAGACCAGAAGAAGAAAGTGTTTGGAAAGTGATATTTAAGCCTTTTTCCTCAGACACTGAAATTATAAAATAAATGGCCTTTTTCTAGAAAAAAAAGAGAGGGGGGGGGGGGGAGAGAAACACCAAGTGATGGTATAAGAAACAGCAATAGATATGACAAGACTTCTTGGGGTATTTGGTACATTCCTATAACTCTGAACCTATGCATGCTATTCAAGAAAGTAAGAAAGGTTATAAAAACTAGGATATACCCAAACAGAATGTATTTTGTAATATAGTGCAGGATCCTAGTACAAAAATCTCTGAAGCCTGGATTGGGAGAGTGACAAGCATCAGAAGGTAATTTTCACCAAGTTTGCTGAAATGCTTGGATGAATTTCAGCAGGCTTTTGGAAATACAGAATACAACAAAGCACATTGGTTATATTTCTTGAGTTATAAAAAGACAGGCAAGAATGCTGCCATCTTATATCATTAGAACATTTGGTCCAAAAGTCATAAATATAAGGGAATCTCTAGAAAGTATAAGCCCATCAGTAAAAAAGGCACTCGGCCCCAGCAGAGGGAGCCACAAGCTGTGAATCGCTGATAGCCCCAAACAGGTTACTCAGAACCAGTGAAGAACAGCATCTGACACTGTCCTGCACTAGAGATTGGGAGTCAGCAGATCTACCTAATACATAGATACAAACCAAAACAGGGAGACAAAAAACAACCACCAAATAAAAGAACAAGAAGAATGCTCCAGAAGAACAGCAAAATGAAATGGAGATAAGAAATTTATCTGATATAGAGTTCAGAATAATGATGGCAAGGATACTCAACAGCATGAGAAAAGATATAGTAATTATGAAAAAAGACAGGTCAGAAATAAAGAATGACATAGCACTAATAAAGTGCATAGTGGAAGGAATACAAAGAAGATTATGGGATGCTGAGGATTAGATGAGTGAATTAAAAGACAGGGTAGAAACAATCACTAAATCAAAGAAAAGAAAACAAAAAACAAAAAACCGGGGGACAGCTTAAGTAAGTGGTGGGACAACATGAAACATAACAATATTTGCACAATTGGAGTGCCAGAAGGAGAAGAAAGTGAGCAAGGGATAGAGAACATATTTGAAGAAAAAGTGACAGAAAACTTTCATAACTTGGTAAAGGGAAAAGTCACACAAGTTTAGGAGGCACAGAGAGTCCCAAGCAAGAAGAACCTAAACAGGCTCACATCCAGACGTAGCATAATTAAAATGCCAAAAATTAAAGACAAAGAGAGAATCTTAAAACTGCAAGAGAAAGGCACTTTGTTACCTACAAAGAAGTTCCAATAAAACTGTCAGCAGATTCCTCATCAGAACCTCTACAGGCCAGAGGGAATGGCATGAAATTTTCAAGGTGATGAAAAGCAAGGATCTGAAACCAAGATGACTATATCCAGCAAGACTATCATTCAAAATAGATGGTGAAATACAGAGCTTCTCAGATAAGAAAAAAAAAAAAAAAAAAAAGCTAAAGGAGTTTATCACCACCAAACCACCACTGCAAGAAATGTTAAAGGGACTGTAGTAATGTGTAGAAGAAATAATAAAAGAGAGAAACATATGCATAAAGAAGTAAAATGGCAATAAATAAGTACCTATCAATAATAACATCTATATATATAAAAACCTAAGTGACCGAATGACCAAACGACTGGTCAACTGGTCACTATGACATTCACTGACAATCAGGTGGCAGATGCTCAACACAGGAACTACCCCCTTGTGGTCAGTGCTCTCCCACAGTGGGAGCACTGCTCAGCTAATTGATGGACGTCTCACGATCAAGACTGATTGGGCATGAGCCTGTGTCAAGTGTAGTGGGGCCAGGATGAGTAGGAGCGGCAGGCAGGAGTGACAGCCAGCATTGAACTACTGGTTTCAGCTCAATTCTGACAGGCCATGCCAGTGGTCACTCCTCTAGTTAAATATAAATGGATAAAATGCTTTAATCAAAAGACATAGGGTTCATGAATGGATACATAGACATGACCCAATTGTATATTGTCTAATAAGATACCCAAATAAAAATAAAGGAAAAAAAAAAAGACTCACATAGGATGAGAGTCAAGCAATAGAAAAAATTTTCCAATCAAATGGAAACAGAAAAAGAGCTGGAGTAGCAATATTCATATCTGACAAAATAGATTTCAAAATGAAGGCCATCACAAAAGACAACAAAAGTCACTTCATAATATTAAAGGAAACGTTCCAATAAGAGGATATAATCCTAATAAATATATATGTACCTAATATAGGAGCACCTAAATAAATAACAACAAAAACTTCTTGAGGACTTTAAGGGAGAGATAGACATAAATACAATCATAGTAGGGTACTTTAACTACCTGTTGACTTTGTTGGATAGATATTCCAGACAAAAAAATTAATGAGGAAACAGTGACTCTAAATGTCATACTGGATCAGATGAATTTAATTGATATTTAGAGAACATTTCACCCCAAAGCTGCAGAATATACATTCTTCTCAAGTGCACATGGATCATTCACAAAGGTAGACCACATATTAGAATACAAGCCAAGTCTCTACAAGCTCAAGAAGACTGAAATCATGTCAAGCATCTTCTTAGATCACAATGGAATGATATTAAAAATCAACTACAGTAAAAAACATTCCAAACATTCAAATACATGGAAGCTAAATAGCATGATATTACACAATGAATGGGCTATCAATGAGATCAAGAAATAAATAAAAATTTTCCTGCAAACAAATGAAAATGAACACATAACCCAAAATCTCTGGGACACAACAAAATCAGTCTGGAGAGTGAAGTTCATAGCATTACAAGACTACCTAAATTAAAAAGAAAAGAAAAGAAAAGAAAGGAAAGGAAGATTAATAATAACCTATTTAAACCCACGACTTCAAGAATTAGAAACAAACAAACAAACAAACAAACAAACAAAAAACACAAGAAAAGCCCAGATTGAATACAAGGAAGGAAATAATAAGTATTAGAGCAGAAATAAATGACACAGAGACTAAAAGAAATAATAATTAAAAAAAAATACAAAAGATCGATGAAACCAATGGCTGGTTCTTTGAAAAGATAAACAAGCTTGATGAGCCATTAGCTAGACTTACCATGCAACAAGGAGAGAGAACCCAAATAAAATCAGAAATGAAAGCAGAGAAATAACAACGGACACCACAGAAATAGAAAGGATTGTAAGAAAACATTATGAACTACTGTACAATAAGCCAACAAGCTGGACAATGTGGATAAAATGAAAAAATTCCTAGAAAAATACAATCTCACAAAACTGAATCAGAAAACTTGTATAGGGCAATAACAATTGATGAAGCAGAAGCAGTAATAAAAAAACTTCCCAGCAAACAAAAGCCTTGGTCTGAATGGCTTCAGAGGAGAATTTTATCAAACATTCAAAGAATTAATATCTCTCCTCCTCAAACTATTAAAAAAAAATCCAAGAGGAAGGAACATTTCCAACTTCTTTTTATGAAGCCATTTTCCTAATTCCCAAACCAGA